TGTGGCTCTGCCAGGTGCCAAGAAGGTGAAGACCCCACAGTTTGAGTCCTTGTGCCCAGGGTGTGCTCCCTGCCGGAGCCCACCTGAGCTGCCTGCTGGGGATTGAACAGGAACTGTAAATGGTGGACATGTCCAGAATGTTCTATTCCACAGGGGGTTGGCCAGTAGGGATAAGAAGGCCCCAAGGGGCTCTGACATGGCTGGGTGAGCAAGCAGGGCCACTCACCTGAGCGTGCCGCTGTAGGCACAGGCCAGAAAGAGCCCAGGGACTCCAGGCAGGTCTTCGAAGATGTCCAGCACGAACAGGGGCATGTACTGGGGGGAGTGAGGGGTCAGCCTCCAGGACAGAAGCACCCTGAGGCTGGGGCTTATTTATGTCCTAACCTTGTACATTCCCAGCACCCAGTGCAGACCGGGTTCACAGTGGGCACTTAGTGTGTTTGTTGATGGACTGCACGCACCTGTGATTGTCACTGAGCCCCACCATGCACGGAACCCTGGAATCCCAGTGAGGCAAGGTCCTGTGTTATCCCCACTTTACTGACGAGGACAGTGAGACCAAGAGGTACATCCCTGCCTGAGGTTGCACAGTCAAGCAGTCAAGATCTGACCTCGGGGGAGGACAGTAGATGTGACAGCCGTGTACTCTCTGCCAACTCTGAACCTTGTGGCTAGAGCTCCAGCCAGGATGTGACCTAGGCATGGGTTGTGGCCCTGGCGCTGCCCCTAACTTGCCTGTGGACCTCAGGCAGTGCCTCCCGCCCCCCCTCCAGCCTCAGTTTTCTCATCTGTAAAGTGGGCACCATGACGGCCTTGACCTCATCACATATTGAAAGATTCGATGGAAAACTGACTGCTCGTGAAGGGAACAGCACGAGGCATAGAGCAGGCACTTGGCATATGGGAGCTGATCATTATTATTAATAGCAACATCATCATTTTGTGCTAAACCATGATCCCATCTTCTCCTTGATACCCCTCAGGGAGTCTCTGACTCTAGATCTCCCCTGCTCACAACTCCCATGGCTCCCCATTGCCTCTCGGCCTCATCTTCCCCGCTCCTCCCAGATCCTCCTCTGAGCCAAGCTCTTTTCTGCCTCTGGACCTTTGCACAGGCTGCTCTTTCTGCTAGGAAAGCTCTTCCACCCTCATCCCAGAGATTCATCCACACAGAAGTTCAGAGCAGGGTGTGGGTGGGAGTGGCCTAGAAGCCTGGACCAGACTCACCTGGTCTGGGGCAGAGATACGCCCTTCAAGGAGGGGGTCACAGTCCATATAGAATGTGAACATGACAATGCCACAGCCAGCAGCGCTGGACACAATCAGGATCAGGCCCAGTTGGTTGATGAGCAGAGCCCTGCAGGAAGGCATGGCTTCAGGCTAGGGATGGGGCGGGGGGCGGGGGCAGCACATCCCAGAGGTCTCTACCCTCTCCCCCAAACACTCACAGCTTGGCCTGCTTCTCCGTGCGGCAGGCCACATAACGCTGCACCTGTGCTTGGTTCACACCGTACATTGAGAGCCATACCAACGTGCCGCCTACCACAAACGTCCAGAATGTGTAGCGACTCCGTGGGTCCAGATCAAAACTGGATGAGGGCAGAGCAAGTCAGCCATATGGGAATGGCACACTAACTTCAACCTTTCAAGGGCCCCAGGTCCCAATAGGCTTTAAGAGAACATTTGGGATGGGTTTTGAATTGTGAGTAGAAGTTAGTGAGGTTGAAAATTGATTTATTTGTTTACTGAGGCATCCATTTATACATTCCAAAATGATCGTCTCTCTGCCCTGGTGGGACCCCAAGGAGCCTTCAGTTCCAGTTGAGCTGAGGGTGAGGTGGGGCAGAGGTCTGGGCCATATGGAGGGATGGGAGGTAGGGGAGTAAAGAGAGAGGAAGCCAGGGTTCTGTCTGTGGGAAGTCTGGGGAGGGGAGCAGGGACGGCTTCCTGGAGCAGGAGGCACTGGCGGGCTTTGCTCGGGGCAGAGGGACGCCAGCTCCGTCATCTTGCAGTATTTCCCTCTACATATTTACTCACTCCATCAGGTTGATCCGGGAGTGGTTCTGGGCAAGCTCAAACACTTGCCTGGGCCTGCCCACAAGCATGGTCCCGCGGGCCAGGACAGCCCAGAAGCCAGCCAGCATCACCACGACCTGGAACACGTCAGTCCAGATCACAGCCTTCATGCCGCCCTGCAGGACGTGACAGAAATAGAGGGTCAGATAGGGATCTGTTTGGGGTCTGTAGGACAGAGCTACAGGTGAGGGGTCAGGTGAGGGACCTGACAGCCCAAGCTAACCTGGCCTCCAGCTGTGGCTGGAACAAATGACCCTCTCTGACTCAGTTTTCTCATCTGTAAGATCAGGGATCCCTGGTCTGAGGCTTGTTAGGGACTGGGCCACACAGCAGGGGGTGAGCAGCAGGCTAGGAGAGCAAAGCTTCATCTGTATTTGCAGCTGCTCTCTAGCGCTAGCGTCACCACCTGGGCTCCACCTCAGATCATCAGGCATTAGATTCTCATAGGAGCACCGGTCCCTGGTGCCAAAAAGGTTGGGGACCACTGTGATGGGTTAATAACAGTACCCACCTTATAGTGATATTGTGAGAATTAAATTAGTTAATATGAGAAAAATATTTTGAATGGCATCTGGCACATATAAGTATTCAGTGAGTGATAGTGATGGCTGCTACTACTATTCCTCTTCCTCCTCTTCTTCCTCCTCCTCCTCCTCCTCCCCGCCCCCCTCCACCTACTCTACTGTTTTCACCCTTCCAGGCTCCATGCCTTTGCCTTCCCATGGCAGCCCCTGGATTTTCCTTTGGAGAAGCCCCTCCTCGCAGGCCATTCAGGTGAGGCCAACCTCAGCTCCAGGAATAGCCAATCAGAATATCCCAGCCCCCAGATTTCTGTTCATTCTTCACGTAAGACTAGAGCCAGCTGGAACAGAGCCCTCCTGGACTTTAGCCAGCCTATCCTGAAATAGGAACTCACTTTTTGCCCAAAGGGGTGAATTCCTGGAGTTGATGGGACCCCTACAGATGGGAGAGGACACTGTTGTAGCCCCTAGATCCAGCCAGGCCTGAAGCTAGCATATCCCTGGACTCTCACCAATAAGCCTTTCAAATCTCCTTTAATTATGAGGAAACAGACCCATCCGGGACTGGGCTTCCTTGGGAGGAAAAAAAAGGTAGGGAGTGGACAGCCAGCCCAGGGTCCCCATCCAGGGTGCATGGGGTGGGAGGGGGTGGTCACTCACAACAGTGGTGTAGAAGGTGCAGATGGCTCCAGTGGACAGAAGTGACGCCCAGATATCCAGACCAGTCACTGCAAGGAGTCCCCAGTTAGGCTGCCAGGTGGAGTGCAAACCTGGGCCCAGTATCTTGGGCCCTTCTCTCTCCAAGAGTAGTTTTCCCTCCCAAATCTCTCCTGGGGCCTCCTCTGTCCCCACCTGCGACCAGCCTGTAAGCCTTTGCCCCCTCTCAGCCACCCTCCTCTGACCTCCTAGAGCCAAACCTTGGTTCAAGATGAGTGCAGGGGCATAAATCACGATGCCGGTGTACAGCACCTGAAGGAGTGGGGGCGGGGGGGCAGGTGAGGCAGGTGTCTGTGCGAGGAGGGTTTCTGGAGACCAGGGTTGGGGTAGGTGAGAAGGGCCAGATGCGCAAGGCCACGCAAGGTGGGGGCGGGGTAAGATAGGGCGTATGGGGGAGGTCTGCGAGCCAAACCTGCGGACCCAGCCTCAGGGAGAGTGGCCAGATAAGTTGTGGGCGGTGCCTGGGCAGGGCCTTGCAGAATGGAGGGCGGGACTCATGGGGCAGGGTCGCGAGGAATGGGGGAGGGTTGTGGGCGGGGCCAATGCGGGCGGAAACCTGCGTGAGAGTGCAGGGCTGAGGCTACTCACTGTGGCCACCAGGTACTGCAGGGTTCCGCAGAGCCTCACGGCCCGGCTGAAACGCAGCTCCAGGTACTACAAGGAAGAGCCGAGGGCTAGTGGTTACCTAGACAGGTCCTACCCAGGGGTTGGAGGCCTCTGGGTTCCTTCACCCGCCCTGTTGGCTTCTGCCCTTCCTCCAGAGGCCACCTTCTCTCTCCACACTCTCTCCCCTGGGGGCCCCCAGCAAGCACACACATTCAGACCTGTCCACACACCTGTGCACACGCACCATCCCGTGCCTGTACCCATGGCGTGTGCCCAGGAGGACTGAGCCATCAAGTCTGCACATTCCCCCCCACACTCGTGTCTGATTGGCCTATGTCCAACTGCGATTAGCTGCCTATTGTATATGGATCGCGATTTTAATCACTTTTCCCACCGCCCTGGAGGGAGGTCCTGTAATTAGCCGGGTTGGACAATTGGGAAACCTGAGCAGAGGCCAGCCACTTTGACAAAGGTTGGAGGAAGCGGGGATGTCGGGTTTGGAACCCCAAGCCCACCGTCTGGCGAGCTCTCAGGTGTCAGCACTCCCAGGCATGTGGGGGGCAGGTGTGTGCCTGTCCACACGTGAGTGCACATCTGGCCAAGCCAGGCCCGGTCCCCCGCAGGCTTCCACCGAAGAGAACCAGGACGCCAGCTTCTCTTCCTCCTTCCTGTCCCTGGCTCCACTGTCTGGGGCTTCTTCCCAGAACCCTCCCTACCTGCCTGCCTGCCTATGAAAGCACCAAAGAGCCGCTTGTGTCCCTCTGCACATCATTTCAAAGCCCCAGGGCTCCCGTCACCGCGTCTCTGCGTTTCCAGCCAGGCAGGTCCAGCCTCCTGCCTCTGGCCGGTACCTGGTAGGTGCTGGTGAGGCCGAGGCGGTAGAAGACTGGCAGGTAGAAGGCTGCGGTCAGCAGGGAGTTGAGCAGCTGGCCGAGGCACATCCAGAGGAACTTGAGGCCGTAGCGGTAGGCCTCAGACGGCACGCCCAGCACCTGCACCGCCGACATGAAGCTGGCAGCGAGCGAGAGGCCAACGGGCAGGGCCGCCAGGCGACGGCCTCCCGTGAAGAAGTCCTCTGCGCTGCGCTGTCCGCCCCGCGCTAGCCCCACGCACAGCCCGATGCCCGTGGACACAAGGAGCATGATCGCGAAGACCCCATAGTCCCAGGCTCCAAATGTGGCCCGCGCCCGCGCCCTCGCCCCGACGGTAGCCATGAAGTGCAGGCGCACGGGCCAAACGTGACCCCGGCCACCCCGCGCGCCCCGGTGAGGGAGGCTGGCGGCAGCCGAGGAGGCAGGACTGCGCAGAGGTAGGAGGATGCTCGGCTTCCGCAGCGAGGAGCACGCCTGTAGGTGGCCCGCGGCCCTCGCTACGATCGTCTGCCTCCCTGTCCCTCCTCTCCGTCTCCGCGGCTGCCTCTGCTGTCTTGTCTTATCGTCCACTTCGCCTTCCCCTGGGTCTGGCTGCCGCGTGCAGCCGCGTGTCCGCCGCCCAGCCTCTGTTCCTCTCCCTGGGAGCCGCACTCAGCGCTGACTGCGGGGCTTAAAAGGGCGGCCAGCTGTGGCAAGCTGCAGATTTATTGGGCTCCCGGGTCAACAAAACCCCGCCCTCAGACCTGGGGGTGGGCAGAACTCTCACTC